CAGTTACTACCCCAGTGGGGTTTGTAGTGTTGGTTCCTAACCACCTACCACTCTTGTACATTAACATTTCATAAAAGCTCACCTTACAGGTCTCCTAAAAGCTTTCTGATATATAGACTAGAGTCTTCAAAGCCCCTTTTATTTCTCAATAACTGAAAATAGTTCTTATGTCTTAATAATAATTCAAAAACAGATGAACTTTTTCTGTATAAAAATACAATATGTTATTCGGGCAGCAACAATACACCAAAGTTGTTAATAGGTGGCCCTTACTTAATATTCTTCATTGTTCTATATCCCTATAGAATCACAAAATGTCAGTATTTGAAGATTGATTAAAGAACAGCTAATCCAGGGATTGAAAATGGCTTATCTACAGGGTGGATCTGGTTTGCAGACATGTATTGTTCAGCACACACAATATTTTTAAACATTTGGAATTATCCACCACATTTGCAAATATTGCACATCAATATCTGAAGATCTGGCCACACTAGACTGGTGTTCTCATGTAGTAACTATGGGCTGGAGCCAGGTGGTTGATAACACCTTTGTTCTCCCCTTTACCACGGCCCGCACCACATTGTGCTGGTTTTCGCCTCATCCTTTACTCATCTAATGATGAGGCCTGAATTTTATATGGATTTGAAATTTTGATTGGTGTCATTTTAGAGATTAGAAAACATGAGATATCGAGTGCTTAAGTAACTCTCCTAAAAGCAAATAAACAATCAGTGAAAAGGTACCTGAAGCCAAATCTTGTGTCTGTACAAATTGCTTGTAACCTAAAGTGCTTCAATGTTCTAAGAGACACAGTTTGAGGAAACCTGCACTGTACTACCATGTCTCTTCTCTTAAAGTTTATTTTCCAAGTTTTTAAATACTTGATTAGCTCTATTTTTTTAACCACAATCTTCAATTAACAAAAAAATTAAAAAATTTTAAATCTAAATATTTAAAATAAAATTAACCTAATTCTTATACAATATTATATTCCAGCAGTCTTACAGGCTTTAGTTATGGTTTTTATTTTCTTTTTCTTTTCTTTTTCTTTTTTTTTTTTTTTTTTTTTTTGAGACGGAGTTTTGCTCTTGTTGCCTGGGCTGGAGTGCAGTGGCGTGATCTCAGCTCACTGAAACCTCCACCTCCTGGTGTCGAGGGATTCTCCTGCCTCAGCCTCCTGAGTAGCTGGGATTACAGGCGCACGCCACCACACTCAGCTAATTTTTTGTATTTTTAGTAGAGACGGGGTTTCATCATGTTGGCCAGGCTGGCCTTGAACTCCTGACCTCAGGTGATCCACCCGCCTCAGCCTCCCAAAGTGCAGGGATTACAGGCATGAGCCACTGAGCCCAGTCGTGGTTTTTATTTTGTAAGTGACAAAACCGTGCTTGGATAGTTTTGTATTTTTATTTAATCTAACAAACTTAAAACCAAAAAAGAAAATGCCAGTAGTCAGATGAATGTACTTTTTTCTGTCTTGAATCATTTCAAATAATGACTGTGTTTTTAAAAATGTGAAGCATGTCTAATTATCTATTATTGTAATGCTTTTTCTGTATTTATAGTCAAAATATACTCTGTGTATTGTATTGATATATATTAGTTGTATATATTTTGGGGGTACAAGTGATATTTGGATGCCCTTATACAATGTGTAATAATCAAATCAGGGTAACAGAGATATCCATCACCTCAAACATGCATCTTTTGTTTGTGTTGGGAATATCACAAATCTTTTCTAGGGCGTAGTGGCTTACAGACGTCCCAACACTTAGGGAGGCTGAGGCAGGTGGATTACCTGAGCTCAGGAGTTCGCAACCAGCCTGGGCAACACAGTGAAACCCCATCTCTACTAAAATACAAAAAAAAAAAAATTAACCGGGCCAGATGGCGGGTGCCTGTAGTCCCAGCTACTCGGGAGGCTGAGGCAGGAGAATGGCGTGAACCCGGGAGGTGGAGGTTGCAGTGAGCAGAGATCACACCACTGCACTCCAACCTGGACGACAGAGCAAGACTCTGTCTCATAAATAAATAAATAAATAAATAAATAAATAAATAAATAAATAAATAAAATATACAATAAAGTATTGTTAACTATAGTTTGCCTACTGTACTACCAAATACTAGAACTTATTTATTCTATCTAAATGTATTTTTATACCCCTTAATCAACTTCTCTTAATCCCCCTTCCCCCTTTACTTCCCAGTAGGATATGCTCTTTAAAATAATTACTAATGAATATTTTTGCCAAAAATAAAACACATACACCAGTTCCTAACACTGATTATCAAGATATTAATTTATAATAATTAGAGGATAATTAGAAATATTACTGAGCTTGTAAGAAAGAATCCCAGCTCAAAAGAGGAGGCAGGAGCACATGAACCCCACTGAGAGAATAAATCTGAGAAACCGAAAACAATTTTCTAATATGCAATGAAATTTCAGTAAAATAAATACGCATAAACTGTCATTTTAAGAGAACTCTCTGAAAATTACTAATGTTATATGAAAACATAAAACAGTTGCTAAAATAAAAATATCGAAAGAGTGATAGAACAGCAAAATAGATGCTACTAACTAGAATATTGGAAATAATTCAAGTAATTCTCCAAAGAAGCAATATGAAAATATTTAAAATTAAAATTATGCTTTAAAAGATACAAGGCATGGAGGATAGATGCAAAATTTTTAAAAAACAGCTAAGAGAAGCATCATCAAAAATAAAATGACATTAATTGTTCCTGAACCAAAGAAAAACTTGAGTCTTCAGTGGAAAAGAACTAACTGAAAGCAGGGCAGATTATTTGGGAGAATAAAACTTATTTGTAGAAAAATACATATTTTCTAAGGCTAAAAAGAAATTTGAATTGCTTCTGAATAACAAAAGCAAACTACAAAGAAAAATAAATTAGTAAGCATCAAACTTTCATCTACAACACTAAATGGTATAATACAATAAGCAAACACAATTCTCAAAATTAAACAGTCATTCTGACAATCATTCTTAAATGAGGGAGAAAAGAATAGCAAGAATGTGTGTGTGTGTGCACATAAATGCAAGCACGCTTAAGAGCCAAGTAATGGTATGTACTGACAGATATTGTTTCTGTGTCCTTAGGAACACCTCCCTCTCCAACTTTCCTTCTCCTGCTCGTTATAGTTCTGCTAGGCTGATAATTCCAGGACATTGCCACTTGATCACTGAGGTGGCACTTACATACTGTCCTTCAGTGGTTCGAGTCTTGAATAGAGAATCATATGAATGGAGCATGATGGAAATTGATTCTTCTATTAATATAATTCTTTAACCTCACCAAATGCATTTTTGCTACTTCATCACCTTTTTCCATTTTGTTGAATTAATGCACACACTTTTCCCATCTTTTTACAACCGTTAGTCCTTTTCCTAGAAACACCTATTCTACTCCTGTATCATTTTTATGTAATTTCTACTTCCATATCTTTTAATAATATACTTCTTATGCTGTTTTCTGATTTATAAAATGTAGGTATAATCTAATTAGTATAATAAATGAGGAATCACTGGCTTACCACTAGCCTCCCTCCAACCAGTTGTTATATGTATATTTTGAGTTCCTGTGTAGTTTCTTTGTATCTTTAGTAAAATATTAACATCTTTATTTCTTATTTCAAAGCTGTAAGAATGTATATTTTGTAGCAGTACTTTGTACTTTGTACTTTGGCCAAATACTAAGCCAAACCCAAAGATGTTGTATCTATAATCTTTCTTCTCATGTTTGATGATATTAATGACCATAGTTTTCATTTCAGCATCACTATGTTCTTTTCTCCTGCTAATTTTATCATCTGCAGAACTTTTGCAATGCTAAAGTTAATGGTATTGATATATAATTAATTCTGCCATGTGTTAGCCATACATTGAAGTTTAATTTGGAAGTCATTGAGAACATTAAGAATGTAAACATGGTTTCCTGCAGATCCAAGCAGTGTAGATTGATCACTGTGATATTTTTAACTTTTATGTTATATCCAGGGATATATGTGAAGTTTTTTTATATAGGTAAACTCATGTCATGGGGGTTTGTGATACAGATTATTTCATCACCCAGGTACTAAGTTTGGTATCCAATAGTTGTTTTTTCTGATCCTCTCCCTCCTCCCACCCTTTTGTCTTGTCTTCAATTTTATTAGTATTTTGTTTCTACTGGCATGGAGAAAAGGGCTAGAAAAATAAGTACACTTTTATCGAATCAACATTTCTCCTGATGCCTCAGTTGGACTGCCTGATTACAGGCCTGCCACATGGCTGTATTTCTGGGGTTTCCCTTTGTAGAAACAAATTGTCTAGAGACAAATTGGCTCCACAGTTTCCAGGATGTCAAGAGTTTTTTCTGTTTACATTTTCTTCCTCATTTAGATGCAGCCCAACCTCAAACAACCTCCCTTGCAAGGGAGCAGAAGATATTTTAAGACTCTTTTAACATTATTTATTAGAAATCCAATGTCATTCTTACTATCTTCTAACATTCAACATTGCTGATGGAAAATGTGATACCAGACTTGCCATTTTGCTGCAGGTCACATTTTTTCCTCAAGAAAAATTTTAGAAACTTCTCTATATCCTCAGCGATCTGAATTTTCACAATGGTATGTGCATTAGGGTTCTCTAGAGGGATAGAACTAATAGAAGAGATATATATGTAAAGGGGAGTTTATTAAGTAGTATTAACTCTCACTGTCACAAGGTCCCACAATAGGCCATGTGCAAGGAGCAAGGAAGCCAGTGTGAGTCCAAAGTCTGAAGAACTTGGAGTCCAATGTTCAGGGGCAGGAAACATCCAGTGCAGGAGAAAGCTGTAGGATGGGAGGCTAAGCCAGTCTAGACTTTTTAGCCTTTTCTCCTTGCCTTTATATCCTGGCTGAGCTGACAGCTGATTAGATGGTGCCCACCCAGATTAAGGGTGAGCCTGCCTTTCCCAGCCCAGTGACTTAAATGTTAATCTCCTTTGAGAAGCGCCGCGGAGAAGGGGCCGCCTGAGGTGAAGCGCGCGTGTGGAGGAGTTGTGGAGGACGCCTGTCGACGACCGGTAACTGGGCCTCGGCCATTGCGGTTTGTTTCAGTCAGGAAGCATCTAAATATGGTGTCCTCTGGAAAAAAGTATTCCAGGAAATCTGGGAAGCCGTCCATGGAAGATCAGTTTACGAGAGCCTATGACTTTGAGACTGAAGATAAGAAAGATCTGAGTGGTTCAGAGGAAGATGTTATTGAAGGGAAGACTGCAGTCATTGAGAAAGGTAGGAAGAAAAGGTCTTCTGCAGGAGTAGTTGAAGATATGGGGGGTGAAGTACAGAATATGCTGGAAGGAGTTGGAGTTGACATTAACAAGGCTCTTCTTGCCAAGAGAAAGAGACTAGAAATGTATACAAAGGCTTCTCTCAAAACTAGTAACCAGAAAATCGAACATGTTTGGAAAACACAACAAGATCAAAGGCAGAAGCTGAACCAAGAATATTCTCAGCAGTTTCTGACTTTGTTTCAGCAGTGGGATTTAGATATGCAGAAAGCTGAGGAACAAGAAGAAAAAATACTTAATATGTTTCAACAGCAACAAAAGATTCTTCAACAATCTAGAATTGTTCAGAGCCAGAGACTGAAAACAATTAGACAGTTATATGAGCAGTTCATAAAGAGTATGGAAGAGTTGGAGAAGAATCATGATAATCTACTTACTGGTGCACAAAATGAATTTAAGAAAGAAATGGCTATGTTGCAAAAAAAATTATGAATTATGATGGAAACTCAACAGCAAGAGATAGCAAGTGTTTGGAAGTCTCTTCAATCCATGTTATTCTGATGACTCTTTGAAGAAAGAACTTGAACCTAAGTAATATGATACAATTATAATGTTAGCTAAGAAGCATATTGTAAGTCTTTAGAATAGTTTAATTGTAACATCTTTAATCATAAACCTGTTTCATTGTAAGACCTCCCTTTCTGTTAAGTCAAATCTAAATAGTTATATGAGTTAGCAACTATTCCTAAAGAATATGTATTAAGCTTTCAGCTCTTTAGTAATGATAGGGAATTTTTCTCTCTATCACTGTCAAATAAAGACAATTTAAGTTTTAAAAAAAAAATCTCTTTTGACCACACCCTCACAGACACACCCAAAATCAATACTTTGCATCCTTCACTCCAATCAAGTTGACAATCAGTATTAACCATTACAAGTCCACCCTTTGTCAACTTGAACTCATACACACCTCCTGAGATCATAGTCTTCAAATGAAGACAATACTAAGGTATAATTGTGCCTCACATAATACGACTGTCCTTCATACAACCGGAAATGCACCAATCCCCAACCCAAATGCTATTACACAGAGTTAACAATACTTAAATGCTGATATGAAGTCAATAAATTTAACGTCACATAGAAAAGGAGAAAAGGAAATAAAATGAAGATAATTTTTTAGTACAAGTGTATACATGCACAAACATGTTTTTAACAAAAGAAGGAGGAAATACTCATTACAATTACAGTCCTCGTTGCTGCAACTGGTCACATGATCCTGGCTGGATTTGATGACTACCTTCTTCTACAACCCATTCAGTATTCCCTTTGCCTTCAGCAAGCACCTCAGCAGGTCATGGGTTTTTTTTGGTTTGTTTTGTTCTTTGTTTGTTGTTGTTGTTGTTGTTGTTGGGGGTTTTGTTTGTTTTTTGTGGTAGAGTGACCCAAACCTTCATTCCTGAAGGCTCTGGGCCATTTGTAGTCCTGCCTGGATTGGGCTGTTATAGTTTCCCATTGACATTAAACACAGGACATGGTAATACTAAGAGATGCCCTAATGAATCTCCTGTATTCCATGCATATTCTTCCTCACCTCTGTTGTGGAGTAGTCAACTGATTTCATCTTAACGTTCTGGGTCAAGCACCCCAGTCAACACTGTAACTCTCTTCTTAGACTGTTGACTTAAAGGTAGGAGAAGCCTAAAGTCTCCAGGTGGCAATCTTAACCTCCAGTTTAATGGAATTGTTGTTGTGCCTCCTGATGGCAGTGTTGCTCTCTCTGGAACTAAGACCTCTAGGCTAGCAGAACGTAATGTCATGGGAACAGGAAGCAAAAATTTTGCTAGTGGATCAGTAGGGGTGATGGTGAGTCATGCCACTTCCACTTCCACTGCTTGATTCCTGGGCCTTTGAATTCTGGCTATGGGAGAAAAAAATACCATATATTGGATACTGGTTCAGAGCATACACAGCTTTCTGGAGAACTTTACCCCAGCCCTGCAAAGTATTGTCACCTAGTTGGCATTATAATTGTGACTTCAAAAGGCCATTCCACCATTCTATCAATTCAGCTGCTTCAGGATGATGGGGAACATGGTAATACCAGTGGATTCCATGAGCATGAGCCCACTGCTGCACTTCTTTAGCTGTAAAGTGAGTGTCTTGGTCAGAGGCAATGCTGTGTTGAATACCATGATGGTGGATAAGGCATTCCATGAGTCCACAGATGGTAGTCTTGGCAGAAGCATTGCTTGCAGGATAGGCAAACCCATATCCAGAGTATCTATTCCAGTGAGGTCAAACCATTTCCCTTTCCATGATGGAAGAAGTTCAATATAATCAACCTGCCACCAGGTAGCTGGCAGATCACCCCAATGAATGGTGCCATATTGAGGGCTTAGTATTGGTTTCTGCTGCTGGCAAACTGGGCACTCAGCTGTGACCATAGCCAGGTCAGCCTTGGTGAGTGGAAGTCCATGTTGTTGAGCCCATGCATAACCTCCATCCCTACCACCATGGCCACTTTGTTGACAGGCCTATCGGGTGATGACAGAGGTGCTGAGGAAAGAGGCTGACTGCTGTCCACAGAACGAGTCATCCTATCAACTTGATTATTAAAATCCTGCTCTGCTGAGGTCACCTGTTGGTGAGCACTCACATGGGATACAAATATCTTCACAGTTTTTGACCACTCAAAGAGGTCCACCTGCATACATCTGCCCCAAATTTCTTTGTCACCAATTTTCCAATCATGCTTCCTTCAAGTCCCTGACCATCCAGCCAAACCATTGGCTACAGCCCATGAATCAGTATATAATTGCTTGTCTGGCCATTTCGCCTTGCATGCAAAGTGCACAACAAGGTGCACTGCTCAAAGTCCTGCCCACTGGGAAGATTTCCTCTCACCACTCTCCTTCAAGGATATTGTAGAAAGGGGCTGTAGTGCTGCAGCTGTCCACTTTTGGGTGGTGCCTGCATATCATGCAAAACTATTTGTGAACCAGACCGTAGTCTTCTCTTCCTCTCTCAACTGATCATGGGCAACATCCCACGAGGTCATCAGTGCAAGGTAGGGGAGAGAAGGCAGGGTGGCAGGAGTGGAAACCATGGGCATTTGAGCAACTTCCTCATGTAACTTACTTGTGCCCTCAGGACCTGCTTGAGCTTGATCATGTATATACCACTTCCATTTGATGACGGAATACTGCTCTGCACTACCCACTTTATGGCTAAATGGGTCAGAAAGCACCCAGTTTATGATAGGTAGCTCAGGTCTCATGGTGACTTCACGACCCATAGTCAAACATTCAGTTTCCACCAAAACCCAGTAACAGGCCAAGAGCTGTCTCTCAAAAGGAGAGTGGTTATCTGCAGAAGATGGCAGGTCCTTGCTCCTAAATCCTAGAGGCCTTCCCTGTGATTCACCTATGGGGGCCTACCAAAGGCTCCAAACGGCCTCCCTATCTGCCACTGACACCTCAAGCACGATTGTATCTGTTGGGTCATATGACCCAAGTGGCAGAGCAGCTTGCACAGCAGCCTGGACCTGTTGCAGAACCTTCTCCTGTGCTGGACCCCACTCCTGGTATCAAAATCTGTATTAGTCAGGGTTCTCTAGAGGGACAGAACTAATAGATGTATATATAAAGGGGTTTATTAAGTAGTAATAACTCATACAATCACAAGTTCCCTCAATAGGTCATCTGCAAGTTGAGGAGCAAGGAAGCCAGCCTGAGTCCCAAAGCTGAAGAACTTGGAGTCCAATGTTCAAGGGCAGGAAGCATTCAACACAGGAGAAATACATATGCTGGAAGGCTAAGCCAGTCTAGCCTTTTTACTTTTTTCTGCCTGCTTTATATCCTGGCCAAGCTGACAGCTGATTAGATGGTGCCCACCCAGATTAAGGGTGGGTCTGCCTTTCCCAGCCCACCTTCTCAAATATTAATCTCCTTTGGCAACACCATCATAGACACACCCAGGATCAATACTTTGCATGCTTCAATCCAACCAATTTGACACTCCGTATTAATCACCACAGTATGTCTAGGGGTGTATCTTCATTCATCATGCTGGGACCTCAGTGCAGTTTTTAATTGCAAGTTTCAGCACTGAAAAATCACGTTGGATTTTTTACTTGCTAATTTTCTCTACATCTTTTTTTCGTCATCTCTTTGTAGAATTCTTGGTAGCTTATCTTTCGTCTCTTAGATTATGCATTTTAAATATTTTCTACTTTCTGTTTAATTTCTTATTTATATCTTCCAACGTGTCTATCAAATTGTTTTCTAGCAATATTTCCACACCATCATGATTCAGTACCTTGGACAGTTCTCTAGGTGATGATGTAATTGAGGGCACCAGAAGTATTAGCATGCTGAGGGTCACAGACATCAAACCAAAGTGAGACAGGAGAGAGAGTGTGAGTGTTGATAATTCAGAGGCGAATATCTGAGCAAGAAGAGTTCATCAGTTCCCTTTCCAGTGATTTTTTAAAATAAGCTATTTATTTGAGAATTATTTTAGATTCACGGACTATCTATGGAGATAGTGTACACTACACCCACAACTAATTTCTCCTGTTATTAATATCTTACACTATTATGATATATTTCTTATAATTAATTAACCAATATTGATATATTAAGGTACCCTTGTTTGATGACCTTGATGCTTTTGAGAAGTATCGATCAGGTATTTCTGAAAAGTTCCTCAGTTGGAACTTATCTGATGTTTCTTTCATGATTAGACTGGGGTTATGAGTTTTGGGAAGAAAGACTACAGAGATCAACTGTCATTCTCAACAAATCATATCAAGGTACTCACTATCATCATGAATTATCACTGTTGATGTAAATGTTGATCACCTTGCTGAAGTACTGTTTGTCAGCTTTCTTCACTATAAAGTTATTCTTTTCCTCCTTCAATACTCTAGTATTTGAAAGGAAGTTGCTATGTGTAGCCCACACTTAAGAAGTGTGGAGTTATGTTCCACCTTCTTAAGGACCTATCTACATAAACTTTTTGAAATTTTTCTGCACAGGAGATTTTCTCCTTCTCCATTCATTTATTTATTTATTCATTTTTTTTGTACTAGCAGGGATTCATAAATATTTATTTTATACTTTGGGTTATAATTCAATGATACTTTATTTGGTTGCTCAAGTTGTTCTAGCTTTGGCCACTGGCAGCTCCTGCCCCAAAGATTTTTAACATGGTAATAAGAAACCGATCAGCCTCTGTCTCTAGATGACTAAACCTATTTTTATCTAAAACTTGAAAGCTGTTGGAAACCAATTTTTTCTGCCAGAGTATAAATATGATGGAACCAATTATGCAGAGAGAAAATAATGTAGAGTAAGAAGCCCAGAAAACAAGCCAAAGCACACACCCTAATCCCTCCCAATTCTTTAGTTAGGTCGACATCCTGGGAAGTCCTGTTGTCCTATTCTGAGGTTTTGTGTGCCATTCCAGTTTCTGCATACAAAATTTCTCTTTTTGTTTAAATTGGATCCTTTTATTCAACCTGAAGGGTTCAAACACCTACAAGAAGAAACTGCGTTATTCAGGTGGGGACACGGGTAAGGAAATTTCCAGTAGTGGTTATTAATGTCATCCATTGAAACATAGAGACCCAGGGTTCCGTTGCATTTCCCATAGTCCCTGGCTTGTTCTTGCCATCCTTGGCACTGACCCAGAGGCCTCTGATGATGACTGCCACCGATATGCTCAGCTCTGTCCACCTCTGGAATTAATGAGATCTTCATCTCAGTTCCCTGGCCTGCCAGCTCCTCTTCTGCTGCTCCCACCAGTTTTACACCTTTTCATTCTTCCT